CAGGGAGGGACAGGGAGATAGATAGATAGATAGATAGATAGATAAATAGATAGATAGATAGATAGATAGATAGATAGATAGATAGCTAGATATAGATGGAAATGAAGTGAGAGAGAAAGAGAGAGAGGACGCTGGAATTAAAACGGAGAAGCTGAGAGAGGGTAAGAAAAGGGGGTTGAAAGGGGGGGAGGAAACGGTTAAGGACGGGGGGGGGGGGGCCGGGGCCGGTTGGGGGGGGGGCCGGGGCAGGGGGGGGCCGGGGTTGGAAGGGAGGGGCCGGCCGGCCGGGGGGGGGGGGAGGAGGGGGGGGAGGGGGGGGGGGGGGGGAGGGGGGGAGGGGGGGGGTGAGGGGAGGCGGGAGGTGACGGGGGGCGGGAGGGGTCCGTGGGGGAGAGATAGGTGGAGTGGAGAGGGAAGTGGGCAGAGTGTAACAGTCTCTCAGTCACTAGAGGCGCCAGCATCGCTGCACGACACTTCGTCTGCACACTGCGTCTACATCTAACCAACACCACAGCAACAGGTGACGTCATCAGACAAGCAGCAGAAGAAAAGAGCGCAAAGAAAGAAACGTCATCCACCGGATTAGCAAAATAAGGTGAGCGGACATGCGGAGGTTTTGCTCCCAAACAACGCACACACACCACACAACACACACAAAGCTGGTTTAGTTAGAGCGACACGACGGCATCGAGTATAAAAATAAACGTAGAATGGTCTTAATGAAGGTAATTAATTAATTAAAAATAATTAAACGACATTTATACATTAATTAAAGAAAAGCTGAACAGGAGTTTAAGGCTCGCTGCAGTTTCGCTAACAGACGTGCGCGTTTTGTTCACTTGTCTTAGCGCGGTCGGCCAACTTGTTTTTGCGGTGCTGTAACACGCACGCCAGGCCCCGTACCAAAGTCATGGCCACTGAGCTGTACATAGCAACAGTTATTACATCGATCTCAGAGGTCATGGCTCTAAGCGCACACTGAAGTAATTTTGTAACGATGATATTCTTGTTATGAATCACAAACAATGAAATGAACAATAAACAATTAATGCATATTAACAATTTCATTGGTTTTGATCTGTATATATGCTGTTATTTCGAAGAACCTCGGTTAATGTTGTTTTTTGCCGCTAGATGGCGCGGGCGTGGGAAATAGCTAGGCATCGCACGTCTGCTAGCGCTAATGCAGCACAGATATTAATTAATTAACAGGTATTAATTGAGTCGCTTCATTAGAAGCTTCGTAAGGGATAGCGGAAATTTAATCGATGACGTCTAGACAAATAAATTGTTAACACATCCATTAAAAATAAATCGATAAAAACATACAGGAGTTAAGCGTTAACACATATTAAAATCCCTGCAAGTTAATTATATGCACATGAACAGAAGTAATAATAGTAGATAAATAGTAAATGATAGATATTTAATTAATTTAAATTAAAAATTATTATTCGCATTAATATCGAGTATAAACCAGAACCATCTGCCCGTGTTAACACAATAATACGCATTAACCGAAAGTAATAAATGATAATTAATATTTTTTAAAAGGTATTAATAAACGTAACGATAAACAAGCGATAACCGATAACCGGGAAGCAATGAAGCTTATAACGAAGCAGTGAAGTCATCCCGCAGGAAGACACGACATCCCCGTTCCCGCATCCCCGTTCCCAGCTCCGTGAGAGCGCAGGCCCGGTGGCGAGCGCGTACGCCGAAAGGCCGGCGCTGTCGTCTGCTATTTGATTACTCACTCGTTTGCCGCGCAGTCCGGGGAGGCCGGTGTCTCCCTTCTGTCCGATGCCCATTGGTCCCACCACACCTATCTCTCCCTGCAGCAGATGCAAGCATGCAGGCGTTAGTAAGCACACCATGCTTAAAGTGATTACGTCACCATAAATAGTAAATTTTTTTAAATTATGCCGACTTTTTCACAAAATGTAAGTGATTCTGTTCACTTTTTTTCGATTAAATTGCTGCATTATACTTTCTATGTTGCTATTCCGTTCGATGTGAACAAACACTCGTGACTCATACATAGCCCATAGCAAGCATTTATTGTCATTATCAATATATCACATCGCCCAGACTTTTTGGATTTTTAACTAGTTGATAAACAATCTTATCGGCTACGAATTTGAGGATACATTTAGTGCCGTTAGTACTTACATTTCATGTAAAAAAATGGCAACAAATTTTTTACAAAATTACACCATAGAAAATTCGTGACGTAGTCAATTTAATAGCTAAATATATATTCTTATGCTTAAATGCTTAATATTATGACTAATAGTATCTGTCTCTATCTCTATAGCTCGTATAGACCGCACTCGAGTATATGACTGATAGGTCATTGGCAGTACACACGTGCGCATGGTCAACACCATCATCATCATCGTCATCGTCGTCATCATCGTCGTCATCATCATCATCATCATCATCACTATAAGCATAATAGCTTGTAGTCTACTGTCGATTATAGGATATACAGAGACTCTCCGACTTACGAACAGGTTTGGTTCCGAGCGGTCGTTCGTGAGTCGATTTGTTCACAAGTCGAACATAAGATAAGATAAGATAAGATAAAGCTTTATTTTCATCGGTATAGTGTATAACATGTGAACATGAGCTCTGACAGCTCTTAGACCAATATCTAACATGAGTTTAAAAACCGGTGTAAAAATACATGATTTGATACATTATGTGATATATACAAGAAAAGTAAAATAAGTTTGATCAGATGGAGACAGTCTAGTATCTACACATGGATCATTTACATTGTTCTCCTGTCCAAGTGGACAAGAGTTTCTTGAACTCGCCAAAGTTTACTGCTATTTTACAACAGCCAGGTAGCTGATTCCATAGACTGGCTCCATAATAACTAAAACTCTTCTTTCCATATCGTATGGTTCTAAAGGACGGGAGGCTAACATGGTCATTTCTTAGGTTATGTCCCGTATCTTTGGTAGGTGGAATTAAATTGTGCATATACGAAGGACAGTTTTTGTTTGCAATTTTATACACTTCCTCAGCGATAAGCTTCTGCCTACTAAGTTGGAGGGAGGTCGCGCCATCTCTGAGGAGCAATTTCTCATACGAACTGTCATAGTCCTGGTACGCATGTCGCAACGCACGATAATTCAGAGATGAATTCCATAATTCATGTACGTACGTATACAGTATTGTGCAGTAGTGTAGTATATTTACGTGTGAACATATAATAACCTAGAAGTGTACATTGTGTAAACGTATACTTGAACACAGGAGTTGGCGAAAGTCAAAATCAGGGGGGGGGGATTGTGTCTTTTTATTCACCAATATTGACATTATATGCTAATGGACTCGTATCATCGAAAGTTCGTAACTCGAATGTTCGTAAGTCGGGGAGTCACTGTATAGCTATCGCAGGCGCCTCTCTCACCCCCCCACACCTTCGCGGAGAGGAGAGGCGCCCTCACCTCCTCCCCTGAGAGAGGAGAGACCTCCCCCGAGAGAGGAAGACCAGCTTACCTTGTGTCCTCCTGGTCCGGGCGGCCCGGGCGGCCCCGGCGGTCCCTCTATCGTTTCGATGGGGAAGGAGTTTCCTCCCTGTCCACTCGTGATCACTCCTCGGACTCCTCTGTCTCCCTTGTCTCCCTTCGTGCCTTTCTCCGCCTGTATGCAGCCGCGAGACAAAGCAGAACACGTCACGCGACGACGATGCGGCGTAACCATGACAACCATCGCAATAGATGGGCAACGACGCTAGTCGTTACCGTGGCAACGACATCTCGGCGCTGCTAACGACGCAGCATGACTCGGCGCGAAACAAAACTAGATGAACAGACTCTAACGCGCAAAACTTCGAAGCAGGCGAGTAAAAACAAGTGGTGCCTTCTATCGCATTTACGACGTGCGGCAAACAAAAGTGAAATGATCTCTTGCTGCTAGCGCGCTGCGCCCCCCACCGTAGCGTATGCATGCAGGCGCCCCCTACCATAGAGCATGCATGCAGGCGCCCCCTATCCTCTCCTCCTCTCTCCTTGCTGGGGGAGGAGGTGAACCTACCACTAGGCCAGGAAGTCCGGCGGGTCCCGGGGGTCCTGGGGGACCGGGAAGGCCTCGCACTGCCACCACGTCCTGTCCGGCCTCGTTCTTACCTATCGGACCCTAGACAACAACGCAACACAAGAACAGCTCGCAAAAAACACGACGCACCTCGGCAGCGGCGAACGCTGCTAACAACAAAACTACTAATAAAAAAAACTGCTAGCAAAAGCAGCTTCAACAGCGTAAGACGGTGAGCGGGTAGAGACCGCCGCTAGGGGGAGCTGCTGCGGCGGGGAAGGCATCGCCGTGGTTACGGCGAACCGAGAACGAACAATGGCGGCGGCAGTGTGCGTCTTTTCGTTGCCATGCCAACCAACGCAACGAAACGACTATGCAGACATAATGGTTAGCCGATATTTATGTTATCAATTATATATATGCGTATAATTGCGTAAAAATTCTCTAAGATTAAATTTACGATGATGTAATGTCGCCTGTCGTGGCAATAGCTGGAAGCCGGAATCTATCACAGCAACAAGTTTTGCTCTCGTTTAAAAGCGCAATTGTTTCGGAAAACCTCGGTAAACTTATGTAAAAGCTTCGTCAAACGGTAAATTTAACTTTCCTCTAGCAAAAATACATTCTCACACGGAAATGTTTGCACTTAAACTTGAGTTGATGGTTGAGTAGCAAAGACGATGTAGCTGTTGTTGAATTAGTCACATATTAATTAAGTATTAATTAATTAGGAGGCAGAATTAACGCGCAGTTATGTAAAACTATAAAGTAAAGTGTTATGGCGCAGTAAAACGAGGTCGTTATTCATAACGTCACATTATCTCGATCAAAAAACCACGAGCTCGCAGGTGAAATAAATGATAAATAAATTCACGACGGAGGAATTAAGGGACGGAGCGTGTGCACTGTAAGAGAAATTAGCTGTTAGTAAATTAATCAGTGCGGAAAAATAAAACGTACGATACAGATTTAAGACGGACGTAAGTCGATAGATTAGGATGCGATAACATGTGCGATAGTCAGGAAGAATAAATAAACATATATAGTTTATGTCACCATCTAGTCTATCGTTTATAGACGATAAAACATGTAATCAGAGAGCAAGTAAACTCTTATATTTTCTTTATCATGATGACCGAATAAGTTCTATATAAGTTTCAGAGATAGAGATAGAGAGGTACAGAGGTGCAGTAAAGTCTCTATAAACGTATGAAGACCCAACAGATAATTGCGTTTTAAAGAGGGGCAGATCAACTATCAAAACAAGAGAACGAGGGCCAAGACAAAATTATTTAAAATATAATCCATAAAAAAAAAATTTGTCTCCGATCGTGAGTCTCGCTCACACTACATTATTTTGTTTTTAGTTGAGAATAACTTTGAATGTCTTAAAATATCTTATTAAATATCCTTGAGTTATTTTTTAAAGTTTATTTCTTAAAAACCAGCTGTCCTCTTTTTCTGAATTTATTGCAATCGCATTAACGCAATTTTTTAAAGAATTTTAATCAGAATAACAAGACCGCAGACGATTGAGATGAGAAAAATTCACCCACCATATATATATTATATCGAACCAATCAGCGTTAAGCAAATTCGTTTCTGCCTGTAAACTGTTTCTATTTAATGACGTCACGGTGCTTTATGACGGAATTTAACAGGGCCGTAGCTGCGTCCTTTTCTTCTAATAGCAGAAATATGTCTACGTGTCGAAATCTCACACATGTCGTGGGGCGGGCGGCGGGGTCGTTAATTCTCTCATTAACGTAATTAACAATTAAATTAATTGCGTGGCGCAAAGAATAAAATAAAATGTGCCGACAAATGAGAAAAAAATAAATCACGTGACGCCGCCGCCGCCGTGACGTCACGGCGGCGATCACGTGACATGCAGGCAGTGCTGCTGCGCTCTATATCGTGCTCTCTGCTTACGGGTTGGCCATCCTTTCCCGGTTTCCCCGGCAAGCCGGCGCCTCCAGGATATCCCGTATCGCCCTTGTCACCTTTACCGCCCTGTTACACACACACGTGAGCACGGCTCGAGAGAAATAGATTGCAGGCGGCGGCGCTAGATGGCGCCACGTGGCGATGCTAACGAAGCGAGATTGCGCGTGAACGGAATAGAACGCGAGGCGGCTACATCGCAACGTAAGATGCAATGCAAACGTGATGAGCGATAATGCATGCGATAATTATACATTAATTAAACATTAATTATGCAATTAATTATGCAATAATGATGCAGCTTCCTTTTTTCTCATCCTTTTGATAACATAACTGAAATGACATCTGAAGTATGTTTCTTTCCATCACGTATCACACACCTTCCCCTGTATCTCCTGCCCCGCACACACCTTCCCCTGTGTCTCCTGCCCCGCACACACCTTCCCCCGCTCCCACCTTCCCCCGTGCCTCCTTCCCTTGTGTCTCCTCCCCCGCACACACCTTCTCCCGCACACACCTTTCCCTGTGTCTCCTCCCCCGCACTCACCTTCCCCCGCACACACCTTCCCCCGCACACACCTTCCCCCGCACACACCTTCCCCTGTGCCTCCTTCCTTCATGTTTCCTCCCCCATACCACCTTCCCCCTGTGCCTAACCTCCTGTTTGCCTGCTTCTTTTCCCCACCTTCTCTTTCCAACCTCCTCTATCCTACCCCCTATCCCCACCTACTTTCCCCGATTTCTTCTGCTACCCCCCCCACCTCTTCCTCTCCCCACCTCCTCTTCCTTTTACATCCTATTTCCCACCTCCTCCCCACCTCCTCCTCCTCTCACCCTTCTCCCTCACCCACCTCCCTGCAGCCCCCTCTCTCACCTGTTTGCCTGGGATGCCATCCATGCCTGGTATACCTGGCGGACCCATGGGTCCGATAGCTCCTGGTGGTCCGACCGGACCCTGCGGTCCCTGCATGACAGACAGACAAACAGACAGACAAACAGAAGTATTAGCAGGCGCGCAGACAAACGAGAAGAATGGGAGAGGGGGAGAAAGAGGGGGAGGGAGAGAGAGAGAGAGCAAGAGAGAGGGGGGACAGAGAGAGAGAGAGAGAGAGAGAGAGAGAGAGAGAGAGAGGGTGAAGGAAAGAGGGCAGAGGAAGAGAGAGAACGGGAGAGAGAGAAAGAGAGAGAGAGAGAGAGAGAGAGAGAGAGAGAGAGAGGAGGAGAGAAAAAAAAAGGAGATTGCAGAGAGGGAAAGGATAAAGAAGCGGAAGAGAATGAGCAAGAGGGAGAGAATGGAGAGGGAGAGAGGGAGGAGAGAGAAGACGACGAGAGAGGAGTGAGAGAGGGAGGAAGGAGGGAGAGGGAGAGAGAGAGAAAGAGTATAGCACCAGCTGTAGGAAGCACCACGTGAGTGCGGGGGAGAAAGAGACAAAAAACGTTAGGATAACTAGGACACCACGACCAACCCATGCACAGTTGTCACATGAGATGTCATATGCAGACAGGTCGACAGCATTGTGAAAAGGGTTTAGCAGGAACCTTGAAGGCTGTAAGAGATTGATAACGATAGTCTCTTGATACCCTAACGATACCGAAGAATCAGATAAGAAGGAGATAAGGAGAAGGAAGGAAAGCGACACGCCGGAACGGTCACAAAAAGGAACGAGGCCAGAAGAGCCAAGTGGCAGCCGCGGTAAGGTTCCCCTCTTCGCACTCTTCCTTCTCCTCTTCCTCCTCCTCCTCATCCTCCTCTCTTCCTCCGCATCCACCGCCTCCCTCTCCTCTTCCTCCGAGTCCACCGCCTTCTTCTCCAATTGCCTCTCCGTTCACTCAAAAAACCCGTCTCTCCCGGTCTACCTAATCCCGTCGAATCCTGCGTGTCCTGAGTGTCCCCTAAAGGTCCTGGCGGTGCCCTTCTCGCCCGGGGTGCGGCCGCTGACCCTGGGCTCGCCCGTATGAGCGGGTGCAAAAAAGATAAAATAGGGTCAGAGGGAAATATACAGAGAGCGCGAAGAACGAACCCCTCCATTTTGTCAGACGGCAGAAAAACAGACGGGGAAGCGAGACTTTGTCACTCGTTCGTATGCAGAGAAAGACGAGGAGGGAGGGGGAAGAGAGGAGGAGGAGAACGAGGAGAGAGAGGGGAAGAGGGAGAGAGGAGAGAGGGTGAGGGGGAGGAGGAGTGAGGAAAGAGGATAGAGAGAGAGAGGAGAGAGGAGAGAGAGAGAAAATTTAGAAAAAGGAGAGAAAGAGAGAAAAGAGAAAAAAAAAGAGAAAGGAGAAGAGAGAGAGAGGGAGAGAGAAAGTAGTAAAGTAAAGTAAGAGAGAGGTGATGATAGAGGAGGAAGGAAGGGAACAGAGGTGGAAGGAGGAGAGAGAGAGAGAGAGAGAGAGGAGGAGAGAGAGAGAAAGAGAAAGAGAGAAGTGAGGAGAGTGAGAAGGAGAAGAGGGGAAAAAGACGACGAGGAGAGAGTGTGCGAGAGAGTGAGAGAGGAAGGAAGGAGAAGAGAGGGAGGAGGAGGAGAGAGAAGAAAGAGAGGGGAGAGGAGAAGGGAGAGAGGGAGAGGTAGGGAGGGAGGAGAGGGGGAAGGGAAGGGGGGCAGAGAGAGAAGCATGAGAGAAGGAGAGAGCAAGACAGGGATGAGAGAGAAGACGATGAGAAGAGAGAGTGGAGAGAAAAGAGAGGAGAGAGAGAGAGAGGAAGAAGAGGGGAGAGTGAGGAGGAAGAGAAGAGAAGGAGGAGGGGGAGGCGGAGAGAGGAGGAGGAGGAGGAAGAGGGGGTAAAAAGAGAGCGAGAGAGAGAAAAAGAGGAGAGGTAAAAAGAGAGAGAGAGACAGCGAAGAAGAGAAGAAAAAGAGAAAGAAAGAGAGAGAGGAGGCGAGCAGAAGAGAGAGAAGAGAGCAAGAGAGAGCCGAGAGAGAGAGCAGAGAGAGAGAGAGAGCAGAGGAGAAGAGAGGAGGGGAGGGAGTGGCGAGCAGTCGAGCGGAGCGAGAGGGCAGAGGCGTGGAGAGCGCAGTTTACTGACTAGACTGTTCCGAACGACGAGAATGGTACGGCAGATGGTATGGCGTGAGGACTAGGTGACGGACAGAAGGCGGAGGGAGGAGAGTGTCGCGAGGGTGCGGTGGTGGTTGGTGAGTGGTAGGTATATGGATGTGGTTTAGCGACTGTAATTGGAGTCGGTTGTAGGTCGAATTGTAGGTCCGGCATGTAGGGTGCAGTGTGGGTAGTGCGAAGTGGTGGTAGGTCAGATGTGGTAGCGGTCAAATGTTAGTGTCAGTGTTAGTCAATGTCTTAGTCAATGTTAGGAAAACTCTAGGTCAATATCTAGGGGTCAATGTTAGCGTCCAATGTTAGGGGGCGCGTTTTCACACGGCCTGCAACGATTGAACACGCTTGCTGTCCTGGCCCAGCCATCCCTATCATAACGAAACAAAAACATGGTCAGACATGACAAGACCGAGAGAGAGCAGCGAAGCAAGAAGCGCTACGTAGCCAGGTGCTTGAAGGGAATGCTCGCCGACTTATGGGGCGCGTCGAGACGCTAGCTAAGCGCCACGAAGAGCATTCTGCGTGCATGCGTGCGAGTGAGCCATGGCATGTTTCTTTCCCCCTCCCCTGCCCTCCCCCGAACACTGTGAATACACTTCGTCTGTGTTCTGAGCTGTTCCTCGACGCGTCGAACGCACAACGACGTTCAGGCCGCCAGCCCTAGCGGAGAACGCAGGCCTTCAGTGTTGCCCCCTACCACACGCAAGCTCGTTCTTGGCACCCGTTGCCAAAACGGTTAACGGTAGACTACGGGTATGTGCAGTGAGTAAACAAACGGGAGGGGGGGGGTAATGACCTATTGTACGACGCTTAGAGCGTAAGGTAATTAACGGTATTACCATATAGACGCAGCAGGTAACCATTAGGTCAGCTTGTTTCCAGCTAGTGGCTATGGATCTGATAATGTGTACTGACCCGATCAACTTCAAACCCCGCTAGATATTGTCTGTACATGCGAGCCCCGCCTCCGAAGCCTCGCGATAACCGGGCCATCCGCTTCGAACGATACGTGTCTTTGCAAAACAATCACCTTGCGCACGTTGACAGTGTCACTGCTTAATCGGGACCACGCTGAATGGGGACATCTTCTGATGGTTGCTGACGCGTTCGCAGTTAAAGCGGGGAAAAGTTATACGAACTGGTTGCATTCCAACCAGTAGGTTGGATGGGCTTAGTAACTGCAAATTGCTGCCTAAGCAAACTTGGGGGCAAAAGTCCCCTTTCGGAGGGAGAATAAAATACGCATATAAGGATTATGCATTATGTCGGAGGAGAGGGGGGTGTGAGGATGAGGGATGGTTTGAGGGTATGGAAGGGGAGGGGCGGGGGCGGGGAGGGGCTGGAAGTGAATAGGGGGGGGAAAGTACCGTAGCTTGCCAATAATCTAACTGCTACAGTACAGCCAACCGGCGCCATCTTGCGGCCTCGATGACTCATTCCTTACAGCGCCTTTACATACGGTACGTCATCACTTACTGCTAATCACCTGCTGCTGTTATTACACGATCAGACGGGCAGCGGTTGCGTTGGGGGTGCAGGGAGCGGCAGCACGCGAGCGACGGAGAGGCCGCAGCTGTTAGCTGGTGGGAGTCAGCAGAGACGGTCGGTGCGTTCGATGGTTTGCACCGTCACAGATGGCCGGCGAGTAAGTGTGGGATCTGGTTGAGACAGTAAACAAGCACCATCCACCAACCACCCATCAGTCCATCGCGTGGTGAGTGTCCTACACCCGGCTTCTGGATTTAACAGGAAGCTTACAGCTACTATCCCCCACCGCGACCGATCACCTTCTACTGGAGTGCGAGCGCGAGGGTGGGGGACGTTAGTGATTGAGGCGATGACGGAGCCGGGGGGCCGTTACGCAGAAAAAAAACGCCGGCCGGGTGTGACGAAAGGCAATCCCATTACATTTACTAGGACAGACTTATAGCACCCACCGATTACCACCAAGCCACCGACTCACTAGCGACCCTAGCTACTCCCACCACCAACATAATATACTAAAACACCCCCACAAACACAACTGCTCACTAACCACCATTACATGTACTAGGACACACGCCCCTACAGGCGACCACGATCCAAAACTACTTCAAGCAACCCATCACTACCACAATCACCAACAACCGATCACCCACCTGCCTACCACACCACTACCACAAACCACCCACCTAACTACCAGCACAAACCCACTAACCACACCCACGCACCCAGCTCAATACAGCACCCACCCTCTACCACAACACCACCAGCTATCCAGCACACCCACCCACTACCACCAACCACCCACAGCTGAATTACCGCACCCCACCACTACACCAAGCCACCCACCAAGCAGCTCAATACCAGCCACCCACCTACTACCACCAACCACCCACCCACCAGCTAAGACCAGCACCGCACACTAACTACCACCTACCACCACCAGCTTGAATACCAGCACCTATCCACTGACCACCTGCACCCACCAAACCAGCTAATACCAGCACCACACTACCACAAACCACCACCCACCAGGCTAATACCAGCACCACCCAACTAGCACCAAACCACGCCACCAGCTATACCAGCACCAACTTACTACCACCAACAACCACCAGCTGGAATACCAGCGACCACCTACTGACCACACACCCACCCACCAGCTACTACCACCAACTACCCACAGCTAATACTACCACCCACCTACTACCCACCTACCACCCACGCAGCTAATACCGAGCACCCACCCACTACACCAACCACCCACCAGCTTAATTACCAGCACCACCGTACTACCACCACCCAACCTACAGCTGATACCACCAGAACTACCCACCAGCTAATACTACCACCACACGCTGGACTACAGGCTAACCACGCCACCGAGCTGACGTACCACCAAGCGTACCAGCAGCGTGGGAGAAATACTGCACCCGACCTACTTGACAGGGCCGCGTAGCCAGCA